AGTCACGTGTGTTATCTGTGTGATGTCACAAAATCGGTGGATTGCTCATTCCTTCACAAAAACTGGAGTTGTACAGTCGAAAATTTGGACGAGTCCAATTTTTGTGTCGGCCATTACAGTTCAAACTTGTTTCATAATCACATCGTATCCTATACAATACAGACATTCGTGTGTAAGGTATTTTATTCCTATATGCAACTCGTATCCAATTGACATTTAACGCTGTTATCTTCACCATATGATGGATCCTCCGGGCTTATAGCCGTGCATAAAATGTTCAATTCATATGATAAACTATCATCAGGACGGTTGGAAATTATTAAGATTGAAGATGCGTAGAATCATCGTGGCTCCTATGCGTGACCGCATGCACCCGAAGGTGCTGTTGTTGGAATATAGTAATTCCTTTTAATTGCCCTCAGGTTTCAACATGGCGTCTCCTGTGCGTTCTTGTGCGCTCATTGTGTAACATCCCGTGACAAAAGCTATGAATCCGTGAACAGGAAATTTTCTGGATTAGGATATTTTTCACGTACGTAATCCTGGAGAATACTTTGAGTGGGTATATAATGCTATGGTAGTCTACTATCTACAAAAGACGTATGATTATAAAACATATGCATTTTAGAGATAAGTACAATGTAGTCATTAGTGTTCTCACTGTGGCGGAGAGAATATTATTCATCTTATCAGGCGTCCTTGTAATTAGGATTTTAATTGATCTTAGTTGCATGTCTGTGTGATTCATGAGGATGGTTATTAAAGATGAACTGAGGAATGACGAAGATGAGCCTTCACCTGACACGAGGGGTGAATCAGTCAGTAGCATCACCTTGTAACTGTCATACCGTCTGAAATTATAGACTTTGCTATTCAAGTTGTTTCTACATACGTAAGACTGATTCGTGGAGCATATGCTCAACTGACATAATTCATGCAAATGAGGACCTGATTTGCATAATCGGAGCATATGCTCAACTGACAAGATTCATGCAAATGAGGACCTTATTTGCATAATCGGAGCATATGCTCAACTGACATAATTCATGCAAATTGCGCAAATAAGGACCTTGTTTGCAAAACCGATGAGAAGCATTTATAATTCTTCAGTCGTAAAATTTTACATCTTTTGTCACGAGATCGTGGTTTTCAAGTTCATACTTCTTGATTTAAGGACAGAAAAGGATTTGCTATTTAAGTCGTTTACATACGCAAGACTGATTCGTGGAGCATATGCTCAACTGACATAATTCATGCAAATGAGGACCTTGTTTGCATAACCGATAAGAAGCATTTATAATTCTTCAGTCTAAACGTTTATATCTTTATGGGTTCACCACACCACGAGGTGGTGGTGAACCCATATTGCTTTTTCTGATGTTTCTTCTTCTTCTTCTTCTTCTTCTCCTCCTGCCAATTTTTTAAATGGATTCAGCTTCTTCATTTTAGGGCCCAAGGTCCTGAAATTTGGTATGGAGGTACAGTGGGCAAATACCCCTAGGTCGTTTTTTAAATTTTGTGATACAGG